ACCTACGTACAGCTTTATGCAATAATTTAAATCGAACTTACTTGTTTACATGCTTTCTTACTTCTTCTTACTAAGAATGCGATTGTAATCAATATGGTATGAGATATATTCACTATGTCTATTGGTTCATGGGTTACTAGTTATCGTATAGGCATACTCAAATACAAAATGACAAGTGTGTTAAGTTTACTCTCTTATTTAATCGTTTTTAGGAAATAACTTTGTTGTTAAATTTCGTCTAATATAAACGATCCAGAAACATTAGTTGAGTCCATTGTTTAAGGTATTGAAAACAAATTCGCTACATAATCGACTAGCATTTTTTGAATCGATAAACATCGACAGATGTAACAACATACCTTCAGCTGCTATGTTTAATTTAGTTAAAAGCCCACCACAGAACTATTATGCTTATTTAAGATTATCGCTTTAATTAACAATCATAACATTTAGTTAGTAAAGTCTTAAACCAAATTCATTAGACATATTCCATTAGAATAATACATTCTAATACCATTGGTAATTCTTGTGGGCTTTTTTCTTCTATTCCAAGCGTATACCACTTTTTAAAACGAATACCAAAACAGGTTTAAGAAATAGGGTACACTCAGTAAAAATGCTTACGGTGATCATTAGTGTTATATTTTCACAAAGTTATTTGAGTCCAAACAAACATTGAATAAGTATGTACTGCTTATTCTGTATTCCACAGGGTCTAAAATAAGAAAGAACTTGAGGCAAACTTGTTTTAATATGAGATTTAATCGTTTTGGAATTTGATAAAAAATAAGTAGGTACTGCATAGAAATACTAATGGTGCAAGAATGGTATATTCAAACAGCAATGATGATTTATTCTCAACCATGTTTCAATATATTTTATTATCTGAAATTTGATTTATTTGCATAATATAATAATGAAAACTAAAGTTTTATATGTAAGATTTCTTAAAAGCAAATACTTTAATTTGACCGCCGCGACGTAAGTTGCTTTCATAATAATATTTTATTGATTAAATAAAGGCTGTTCCTTTTTAGTAAATACAATTGCAACGAGCCATTATAGTTGCCACCACATTTTCTCCGTCGCTTTTGTTTGGCGTATTACTACGTGCACATTACCGATAAACGGCGAGTCTTACTTAATTTTGATATGGGTATGTTTGTTTGCATTTTACGTTTTCGTTTGCAGAATAAAATATTAATAAGCACAAAATGTGTTGCGGATTAAGAATATAGAGTGTCACCACCCCTATTCATCCCGGGGGTGTTGTGGTTTGTTCCCTTTGGGAGCCAACTACGAAAAACCCTATACCAACCCGTCTGGCCAATGGGGTATAGTAGGCCAAAAAGTCCTTCCTAAGGAGAGACCTATGTCCAGCAGTGGACTAATAAAGGCTGTTGTTGAAGTACAGAATTGGTACATAATATTGATTGATGGAAATTGTAAGTTATTACCTATATAAAAAGAATATATAAAAAGTGCTCAATTAGTTTCGTAGTTAGAATTTAAAATCTGCAAGGCGTCGAATTCTAACTAACATGTTTTCTAAGAGTAACAAGCTTAATTTTACATATAAATAAATGTTCAACTTTGCGTTTCTTGATACGATTTAATTATTTTCTTTTCATGCAATGTGCGACCTACAGTCAAGGACTTAAGCGTACAGTAGCGCAACTAAAACTATTGTGATTAACAATCACCAATAAACCACTGACAATGACTACATCGTGACATTTTATGTCAGCTTTTGGTTACAATAATCAATAAGTTTAGAGTACGCAAGCTCTATGAAGACTTGTTGACGGAGTCATCAGAATAATTGATTTTGTGTAATATTATTATTAATGTATATATATTATTTAACTATTATACAGTACGTACAAAATATGTACCTAATGTATCTATTTAGTTTATTTTTGTAATAAATATCAATTAGTCATTTATTCATTAGCTTTCATTATACAACTGCCACACACAGCTCTGGATCACCCAAAGGTCGACTGGAAGAAAATGCCTATGGCGTTAACTCCACTTTATGCAATTTATTTGCAGGTAGTGTTAAATGTATAATTAAGACTTTCTTTCCTTTATTAAATTTTCCAGCGTGAATCGCGATTTCACGAGTATATGTTGAGTGTAGGTTCGGTTTGACCCTGTGCTCACTTACTGTCAGTAGACCCGTATGCTCGTTTGCCTATAGTATTTGCGGTTACTAATATTACAAAGTTGAAGACTTTATATGTTTGTTTAAAAGCGCTAATCTCAGGAATTCGAATTGAAAAATTATTTTAGTGTATGATAGCCCATTTATCGAGAAAGGCCACGTAACACCACAAAATACAAAAACGTGGAAAATTTAATTCTTTTGAGAAACGGAAAGTTGCGCGGGTCAGCTAGTATCATAATGAACCTCCAAAAATCCGTTTCGTGTGTTTAGGTAATAATTTTTTTTTTTTTTTTTTTTTTTTTTATTTCAGTTAAGAAAACCAACAGCTACAAAAATGAAATGGTCAGATTGATATGCTACATCAAGCCAATTACAGGTTTTCACGAATAGAATCATTGTAAATAATAGAGGTTCTGGAGCACTAACTAATACGACACTACACCTATACAACTATACAATAAATAATAATCGATCTAAAAATGTTACGATCTAAAAAAAATTAAGGTTTAGCATACCGCGCACAACATTGCTTTTGGTATTAAAGGGATCAAGAGAGTATTCCTTGCACAATTTATTGAAATCTCCGCTCGCTCGCACAATATATGAATTTTTTCTATAGATTGAGGAAGAAATTGGAATAGAAATGGGTGGATTAAATCTAATCGACTTACGGGGGACATTAAAATTTAACTTTTGCAAAAGGCTAGGACAGTCAATCTCATTAGAAATAATTTTCAAAAGAAAAGAACAATCAGCTAATCGGCGTCGATTTACAAGTGGCTGGATATGAAATTTCTTACACAGACCAATGTAATTGTTTGAGCTATAAGGAATATTTAAACGATAACACAAGAACCTCAGAAAACGTTTCTGTATGTTCTCAATGCGATCAATGTACTTATGATAGCAAGGGTTCCAAACTTGCGAGGCATACTCCAGGTGGCTCCTAACAAAAGTACAGTAGAGAATTTTTAGCGTTTTAGCTTTTACGAAACATTTGGCAATTCTCATTACAAACCCCAAAGCCTTGGAAGCTTTAGCAATAATTTGCTCAATATGCACATCGAACAGTAGCTTCGCGTCATGGTAAACACCAAGGTCACGTACCCCATCACATCTTGGCAATACTTGTCCCTTAAGTTCGTATGGTGCTAGTATTGGTGACCGTTTTCTACCAAACGTGACGACTGAGCATTTAACGGGGTTTAGTTCTAATTTATTTAATTGACAGTAGTGATCAAGTCGTGATAAGTCTGATTGAAGCGCCTGCACATCGTTTGGCGATGATATTGCAGAATAGATCTTCATATCATCAGCAAAACAGAGCAGATTAGAACTTTGGAAGCAGGAGTCGATGTCATTCACGGAAATCGTAAAAAGCAATGGACCCATTAAGGAACCCTGGGGAACCCCTGGGGAACATTATGGATCAATATCCTTAATATTAATTATTACATACACGAATGGGTTTCTGTTTACCAGTTATGTAACTACTTACTACTAGTTACACAAACTAATATTAGATAAATTTTATGTAATTCATGTATTTCCCACAATTTTTAAAATACTGTACTAGTTTCCTCGTGTAGGAGTTCATCTTTATAGCAACAAATTTGGATTTTAATCTCAATTTCTAGGTTTAATTTTCTTTGTTGCTTTTTTTCGAAAACAATCTGGGCATTCTATCAACTTCCTTAATATTAAATGTTCATTGTTTTAATCACGTTAATCCACTTTCTTACAAAATATGGATTTTGTCTTAGTGAGATTGTAAGATTCCTCTACTAACATTTTCAAATTTTCGTTTCATGATAGTACCTACTTTAATTTATGGGTATGTGAACCTACTTTTCTGTAACGTTAAATACAGGAAATAATTTGTATTGTAACGTCATGTCGTTCCTTTGTTTCAAAATCTTATTTGTATGCTATCAGCAATAAATGAATGACAGTTAACAAATACATGTGATTTATATTTATGTACGAGTTTGATGTGAATGCACTATACTATCAATGAATACTAATCTGCAGCTAACAAAGGGCTGCAAAAGATGTAGGATGGATGGTACAGTATATGTACATAATACTATTAATAGGTCTGTTGATTTAGTGGTTAGCGATCCTGATTAGCAGTCAGGTCAGTCAGGACCAGCTACAGGTCGTGGGTTCGATTCCCATCCAGGAGAAATGTTGTGTAATGATCATAATCATTTGTTCTTTATGTGAGTGTAATTTATCTAAAATATGTAGGTGTAATAGAAATATATAAATCTGTTTATATGTAAGTGCCCGGATGACGGCTTGCCTCCTAATTGCGTAAGTGGAACTAAAATTACGGTCGGAAAAGATGGGCGTTTCATACGCCGCCGGAGATATTATATATGTATGTTTTTAAAAAGACTGATTCATTTATGGCTGAATGGATATGAAAATACAAAAAACATAGATTATGCAAATCGGCATCGATGTCAATGTCAAGTCAATGGCCTATTGCGAAGTGTTCTCAATTTCAATGACCAATCGAAACAAGGTTTTGATGCATTTAACGTCCACGATAAGTTAGAAATAGGCATCTTGTTAGTTCAGAAAAGATATGAAAAAAATCCAATTAGCCTGTCTTTTGTATCAATAGTTATGATTTAGAAATCATCTAAGACACACTTTGCTAAATTAATTCTTTCATTTATCGCTGTTATTTAACAAAATAATAAAGTGGCTTTCAAACTACTCAACCCACGTCTCTATTTTAAAAATATTCACTGTTAAAGATTTGAAATCACAATTTTAGTAGTCTATTATAGTCTCATATCTTAATTCAATTTTGTTATAGGCGTACCCTGATTGGTCGTGGCATTCTGCCGGCCGTGGTGACATCAACTGCACCGGACTGATCTCCGTTTACCGGATCCGAGCTGACCGCTGCAATAGACTGTGGGTGTTGGACGCCGGCGTTGTCACGAGTATCGATGACTTCCGCCGCGTGTGCCCACCTAAGATTCTCATTTTTGACATGGCTACTGACAGGCTGGTAAATTTATATTAATTTCAAAATATTATTTTCGGTTTAAATTAATCTACTGCACTTAAGCTGCGGCTTAAGCGGTCACCACGGCGCTTCCTACTAAGCTGAGTGTTGTGGATTCGATCCCTATATGGAACCACACTTTGAATCAAAAAAATGTTGTTCTGAGTCTGGGTATTTCTTGTGTTCGTTTTACTTATTGTGTGTATGTATATTCAATGTGTATGCATGTAGAGCGCGTGAGTCGTCTTTTTAAACAAAAAAAAACACACAACAAGAAATATAAGTATTAATATAAGTTCTTTTTACACTACTACTTTTTGCACCGATACAACACATGTTACCTCTTAAGCCTGTCAGTCATTTTGTATTCTTGTGATGGGTAGATTAAATTTGTATTCTATGTAAGTATTTACAACATGTCGCAACTATAACGAAATAAATACCTAAACATTATATAATTATATTATATCACACAAGCAGGGGCGGTTTAAGTATCTAGAGCGCCCTAGGCAAACATCTCATCGTCTTTCCTCCACTCCTCCATGAGGACTCAGCAAAGTTGGGATTTCTGGTCCTCGATTTCTCGAGTCCCACGATTCGAGCCCAGAGCAGTTCATTCACGAGCCCCAGATACCTCATCGAAGGCTCAATGTCGATGCGAGTGCATGAACAAGGCCTCAGATTTGTGCAGAGACACCTAGAGTCCCAGCCGCCGGATCCTCAAGGTGCGGGTTACTGCACGCCTTCACAACAGTGTTGTCCGCATAGCTCGTGACGGCGACACCAGCTAGCGCCTGCCCTTTAAAAACGCGGGCACCACCTTCGGGGATAAACTCTCATTTAGAAGACGTCCGCCACACGAGGACGTTCCCTCCTCACGATAGGCCTTCGTGGCAAGTATAGGGGAAATCTCGTCCACCTGAGACCACACTCAGGGCGGCAAGAGGCGTTGGAAGGGACGCCAGCCATGGAGCATGTAACGGTTGGTAGTGAAAAATCCTCTCTGATGATAGCAATGAGTGTCCGACGCTACGTTGACCAGTCTGTCCTGAGCCGAGTTCAAACTGCACTACAGTGGTGACAGGCGCAACTGAATTTACTCCTAGCGACTCAGAAAAGACCTGCGTCCGTCGCGCGCCTTATTGTGGGCGATCAAAGCTTCCGCCCACGCCCCACCGTATTGTGCAACGCTGGTCTGTTACTACAACTTTTAGAGCAATCTCAACTACAGCTAACTGCAGCTGTAGTTGAGATTACTCTATAAGTAGTCATCATTGTGGCTAAGCTCCGTAAATAAAGAGATTACTCTATAAGTTGTAGCAACTGCATTTTTGTGTGCACGCACTAGCCACAATCTTTATAAGTATTAAAAAAATCAAAGAAGTAGTTTCAATTATTATTATTTGTAATATAAACGTAATTAAAACTTAATATTAATATATAGATATGTCTGTTATAGCATCGTTAGTCTGCAGTAAGTTATTTTTTTAAAGCATTTTCTTTACCAAAACATTGAACCACGCGTGTTTTTTATTAAAGTATTTGATGATGCAATATTAAAACTAGGTGTGTGAAAGCTAGTTGAAGCGTAACCTACATTGTAGTTTTTATCATTATCTTACCACGTTATACAAATGTAGGTTCATGTGCTACTATTGTACTATGTTGTATGTCGAAATGTTGCACTCGTGAGTAAATAAACGAATTGTTTTTAAGTTCAAGCTCAAGTAACAATCTTGGCGGTTTTAATTTAATTCGTTAGACTTTTGTTTCCACAATCTAATCATTGATAAGTATTAAAATGACCTTGCTATTCTGTTAGAATACTATCGATCAATTGCGGATATCGGTTTGACAGGGTTGACCTTACTTACAGATGGGGAAGAAAAGTTGCTCCGAATGTGGAGTCCGGTGTATTTGAAAATAGCATTTGCCCGGCTCAGTTTCGTTTAGTACGTACAATTCAACCATCTGTAGAATATGGTAACTCTATATACTGTATATATATAGTAATTGTGAAAAGAGTTACAGCAAAATTCGTACAACACAAACTTCAAATCACTAGTAGTACTCACACTAAGGGTTACTCCCTTAGTCGACTACTGTGCCTATGTAGGACAACTGCGCTGCAAAGAGAAGGAAAACTTGTAACAAACCCTATACCAACTCGTCTGTCTAGCATGGTATAGTAAGCCAAAACCTCCTTTCTAAGGAGAGGCCTATGTCAAGCAGTAGACTGTTAAAGGCTGTTGTTGACACTGACGATGAGGTGAAAAAATTTTTATATGAAATTATCATTCGAACATTTTCGTAAAACAGAAATAATTGTAGTACATATTTTTCATATAAATATTAGTAGTACATATTTTTCATATGAATATTATTTAATTTTATGAAGCATAATCTCGCCAAAGGTTTTCATATTAGAAATGTTACGTAGTTAAGTCTATAAATAATATTGATATTTTAACAAAGTATCATTAACGAGGGTTATTTTTATTTGTACATCTTATTTTAAATATTGTATACACGTTGTAAAGTGTAAAATTTGATATTATAGTACCTAACAGTTATAGATTAAAGGTATAATAACCGTTATATAATTAACAATCATCAATAAGCCTTTACGTCTTTTATGCATTTGAAATATATATCTATTTAGGCATAAACTAAGAACCATACCATACCAACTTAGTATTCAAAGCAGATCGTAGAAAGCACAGATTTTATTGATGGATAAGCGATTCATCTTTAAGAATTAGATTAAACGAAGTTCCTATAGTAAATTTAGCTATGAAGGTATTTATAGAATACTGCCACAATGATGTCAAGGCAAACTAATGTAATGCTGGCAGTTGGGACAGTCTGAATCGATTAATACTTAGATAAAGTACTTGAAAAGTTTAAAGTTTGAGTCACGACTCGTGAATTGTATTTAGGTCACTTTATTTTCGACGTTTGCACATAGGTTGTTAATATAATACTTACATTAGGTATTCACTAGGGCGCCCACATACACGTTTAAATACTATGCTCATAAATTGAGTACTAGTTATTTGGTTTTCTCTTAAATCTTTCTTAACGATTGCCTTTGGCAATCACAGGACATCTTTGATCACAAGAGCTATTTAAAGTAATAGATTGAGGGTTTTCTGAAATGTTCCACGTGAGATGGCAGCACTGTAGCGTCAGGTCCAACCACCTGTCAAAACACATACACGATTTGTATTTTTCGATCATTTATTTTGGTTCATTCATTCTTAAAAACGTTACAAAAGGAATGTTGTTTTCTAAAATGCCACAGTGTTGTGCAGTGCCTATGTGTGCAAATAAAACTTTTGCGCCTCCCTTTTTGAGCTCAATCTTCAGTTCAGCAACCTTTCTCTGGCCGTAATCTATAATAAAGTCAATAACACTTCCAAATTCATAGAATTTCACTAATAAATTATACGTTCGGTAAGAATCTGTGCTATCTGACAGCTGTTTGGACCTGACGCATACGAAGCGCCGTCTGGTGGCAGAAAAAATATCGAAAACCCTCATTTATACTAGTTGTTTTACTTACATAGTCGGATATGGTTTAAACATATCTGATCCTGTTTGTCACGAGCAAGAAGTGTAATTTCATTAACTTTGTTCTAAATCTCGTTTGGTTAAGGTTTAGTGGCTTATACCTACTAATGTTGAGTGCGCAAATGCGTAGTGCATTTATATATGTTGGAATTTGATCCCCGATCATTGCTAATAATTGTATGCATGTTTAAATTCTGGGTTCATTTATCTGCATGTACCTGTACTAGAATCCGTAGTAAATGCTATGCTTAATTTTAAAGCCTTGTTTAGTGTTTTAGAATACTATAAGCATTTCACCTTTTATCTCGAATCGAGTACGGATATACAAATCACTTTAATTAAAAAATGTTGTGATATGACAAGATAGAACAACTATTATTATTCCGCGATATTAAGTAATCTGGTATGGTAGTAACATGTAGTAATGTACTGCAAATTGTTGTTCAAAGAATATAAATGTTTTAATTAATAATGCGTACCTACACAATATTGTGAGTCTTTCAAGTGAATGGTGGTTTTGTTCATACCAATTTATAAATTGTTTGAACTGGACGAGATATTCGAGGCAGGTTGCTTAGGTAATGTTTGTTATACAGAAACCGGATTACTTGTTGAATACATTATTTATTCCAGCTGTTGCATTCAAAGCGGAGTGCGTGCTTAATAGTTTTTCTCGAATAATCTCCTCACTCACCGGTGGGAAACAACGAAAGAATTGCTTGACATCGGTTTCTTGTTATGTTATGTATCACTTTGGACGAGCCGGCCCACATTATGTGCTGAATATGGCTCTACCACGGTTAGCGTTTTAATACTTACAAAGCTAATTCACCTCAACACGTCTCAGAATATATTTATTTAATAAAAATCGTTTGAAGTCTACCTTTATGTAGACTCTAAAGTTTTAGATCAACACACACAATTTCAACAATTACATAACCAAAGAATGTGCTATAGGAGAACAAACAAATATGTTTAGCGGTATCTAGAGGAGATCTCTGTCAGCAGTATACTACAATGCGTGCTGTGGATATGTACATACTGCTTTCGAAAACTGCATCATAAACAGTACTTTCATTTAGTGCATCAGCTGGAATTCGTATGATATAACTTCTATAACTGTACTGAGATATTTATGAATACTTGCCTGTGGACATTGTTTTTAGTGCAATAATTGTGGGATTGTGCAATTGTATGCAAATTAAGCACTATTAGAAGGAAATGTTTTGACTAATTATATTAAGTAAATCGCGTTATATTTACAATCCAAGGTATCAGGGACGGTGGGCAATTAGAGCCGTGGTTCTGGTTTTAAATGGGTATTAACACGTTTTTAGTCATCATACCCTTTTAAAACCTATTGCCACAAATATGTTTGAAACGTTTCGCTTACCTTTAGAACTATTTTACATATACTATATATATACATAACGTTTAGGAAGAATTTCTCAATTTATAAAAATGTAAATTCATATAAAACAAAGATATGTATATAGTTTACTTCAACATCTAATTTAAATATTCTAAAATACTTAGTTGTATAAAAATCTTAATTATCATCGTTAACAGACAAAATCAATTGTTTCCAGTTGGAATATTTCGAGTATGTTTCACAATAACTTAGCAATGTAAACCGTATCACAAGCACATGAATAAACTGAATAAAGAGCTCTTTGCGCATTTGTCACAAAGCATTGTTTAATTTGAGCGAGTAGGTTGCATTGTTTAATTACCGGTAGTAGGTTTCATTATAGTAACAAAGGGGTTGATAGTTAGAAAAACGTCGTCAAAGAAACTAATCGACAGACTTGTCTTTCTATTCCGTTAGGATATATTATCTGAGTATCATTATTCAGTCTTGTCGATGCTAATATTTAATGCGACACCGGTTGGTAATAGCGGACCAGCGAGGTCAGTTATTTATTTGAAAAGGCGGGGGCATGTCCGATTGTCGTAATGTAATTGTTTGACTGAAATATGCACAACTTTGCTACAACCATGCACTATATGATTGTAACTAGTGAATGGAATTCAGCCTCGCTATCGGCCTAATTGTTACTACAATTTATAAAGTTATCGTTCTTCACTAAATTCGGTATATACGTAGGTCCATATAACTTTGTTAATTAATTATTGTCCGGATATTTTATGTGACCTTACATGTCTTGGATAGATTAATGTCGTGCGTGAATTGAAAAATTTGTTTAACCGTGAAAGCATTGCCTTAACCTTCATGGTTATTTTTTTATGACCACCCAAATTTTATGTCATCATCAATCATTAAAAAAATCTTTGATGGATTCTCTTCGATAAATTACAATCTACATAATAATAATACCTCCTTTCTAAGGAGAGGCCTATGTCCAGTAGTGGAGTAAAGGCTGTTGATGATGATGATTATAATGAATAATAATACGTTGATCGTAAATAGTATGTTCCGGTTCACAATCTTCCAAAATTTAATTTCAAATCTTGCGACACAGATTATTATATAAACAGTATTTTCAATTTTACGATAACATAATATACGGGCCGACTTAACTGGTGCGATCCTACTGATATACAGAAAAAACGGCAGTAAGATATACTGTCGATGCACTCCACCGAGTGAGTAAGAGCCAACGAAGAACAAGAGGAGTGCAGCACGTAATAAGTTTATAGTTTATTTTCAAGTGTTTTAAAAAATGCGCACTTGAGTGTCTTCAGTGGCATTTGTCCAGGGGCAGCGTAAAGCTAAAGATGCGTCTTGATAGTGTTTTCGGTAAATTAACATCATGTCAGGATATTCCGCGGCTGTGAAGGTCACTCGCGGCAGTATGGATGACGATACCCATAACCCAATAAAAATAAAAGACTGATAATGCACTCAGTTTCACACACTCTACACTACACACACACACAAACTAATATTCTCACTTTTTAAAATAAAATTAGCGGGACTCGTCACAACACAAAGTCTTGCGCACACGATAACATTAATTGTTCACACAATCGCCGTGTATTATGACGAATGCAATAAGACTAAATAATTGTTAACATAACAAAACTTTTCTAAACAAATATCTCACGAACAACAACAATATTATTATTACGATAATTTGTAATGTGTAATCTACAAGGACACAGAACAGCATAACACTTTGCGTTTAGCGATGGCTAAGGGCCGACTGACTGTATTTACTGAATTAACTAATTAAAAACGCGTGTCCTTCATCCTGATGACGCAATAACCAACATATTTCTTAAATATATTTAGGAAAAGTGCAAGAAATTAATAATAATAACTTCACACATCTCACACACGGCCATCTGATCCCTATTAGGCAAACTGTGGTAACCAGATTGCTGTTAAACGTAGTTACAGATTTCTAAATATATACATATTATAGGGAGATAAATTACACCCAGACACAGAACAAATTATCATGCTAATCCCACAATTAGTTGTCCTGGGTGGGAATCGGATCCACGATCTCTAGGTTAGCAGTCAGGATCACTTACAACTAGAACAACAAACTCGTCGCGCAAACTTTTGAAAAATAAGTTAAAAGCTCATTAATAAATACGGTGTTTAATTATAATTCAAAAGCAGGTAAATTACATCACGTACCAATAAAATATATCTAAATATTTCAGGTCCGAAGTGTATACTTCCCCCGAGAACTGCTACGGCCCAGCTCTCTGCTTACTAATATCGTGCTAGATGATACCAGATCTTCATCATCTCGCCCATCGTCATCGTGTGACCATCTCTTCGCTTACATCAGTGACACGGTGGCTCCAGGTATTGTTTTTTTTTATCATAAACTTTGGTTTGCCAACGATACATATTTTATTCTTGATGTTAAGAGACTAAAAGTTACTAAACTGATCACAAAAAATCCAAAACGTTTTTTTTAAACTTCTTAGTCTAAATCCGATTTTATACAATGAAATTTAAAAAACAAAGCCTTTCTTATTCTATTAAAGGCAACTCCCAAGGACTAATAAGGAACATATCCTGTGTCACGGGGTATTTTACTAACATACATGAAACGAACACAAAAAATACCCAGACTCAGAACAACAAATTGTGCATCATACAAAGCGTAGTAGTGAGTGACGTGGCACTTAAACCACTACGCCATCTGTGCAATCAAATTGTAAATTTGTAATTGGTAATGAACAAGGACTCTGGAATAGTTAATAGTAGGAAGCAATAAATTAACAATTTAAAAAGTTTTTGATTTATTGCACTAAGCAAAATATATAACACCAAGCAAAATATAAGTATATCAAACTTTTTTGTTTATTTTCTAGTTGCTAATGCAATACGTTCTCTAACTAAATGTTTTCTTGTGGAGTCGATACGACGTAGTCTGACGATCTAAAAGTAAATGGTAATTATCAAATAATCTGGAATAATTTGGTGCATTTTATTATTTCTTAGAATAAAAAATAAAATATTTATTGTACTAAGCAATATTATATAAAATACATAGCTATAAAACTTCTTTGTTAATTCCCTAATTGCTAGCTAAACAATAAAAAAAAAACCTTATATAATTTTAAAGGATAATTTAAATAAGACAATGTTGCATTAGTTGACGTATTAGTATTGCTTGTTTATGTCAGCAGTCTATTCGTAGCGATTATTTCAAAGGTAGTGTCAAGATAAAGTTTTTTTTTTAAACTTCTTGCTATGGCGAGCAGATGTTCTATGGATCTATTGGTCTATGGTCTACATTATCGTAATTCTGTGATTACTTACTTTTTTTGAGGTAGATACCACATAGGTATATGGCCGATTACGTCTTACGACAGACTACTATGGTTGCTAGGTTATGAACGTGCATGTATACCAAAAATAACAAACTACGTGTTAAAAGACCTTATGCGACTTTTGAAAGTAAAACGTGTGAAAACGAATATTTGTAAAAGGGAAGCTACTTTGTATTTAGTTGTTGTTTAAACTGTGCGAAAATAACATACTAATTATATACATTCAAGTAACGGAAAATGCAATTTTCGAAGTAAATATTTCATATGCTTACGTAAAAATACATTATGTAATTTAATTGCATAGCACGCAAATATAGCGGGACTAGCCCAACAGCGCAACTTCACCAGCGTACGCGGCATTGATGCTCTGCGCCTATTGGTTGTAGCGTGCAGTTAAATAGCCTTTTTCGTTAAATGAGCTATTCCAACAATAAAAGAATTTTACAATTTGTAGTTACAAACCGTAGTTCATAAGATTAGCGCGTTTAACTAAACAAACAAATTCTTCGGCTCTATTATATGGGTATAGATTATAAGGGATAGGTATAAAAACGACTTTGCAGACGAGATTTTAATCTCTAGTGTTGAAAAGTTAGCCTTGTTAAGGACAGATAATATGGAGGTGCTAATCCTATACTATACGAAACTATAGACTACTCAATAAGTGTCCATGAGGTTTATATGAAATGGATTGTTTTGCTACAACAATCCAATTATACCGACACCTAAACAATTATTATAACAAGCTTGTTGAAGTTACTGCTGGAAAACGATTAATAGACATTAACGATCGTGATTACTAAAGCTACGTAAGTGTTAGTTACTAACAATGTTTCTTAAATCGTTGTTATTAATATGTTTCTGTTTAGCGTTTATTATCCCTCAATGGTCTATTATGTTCAGGTAGTAATTGAGTATTAGATATTCGTTGAAAAAAGTATCTAGGTATATTATGACACACTTAAATATAATACTGAAGGGTTGAGTGATTTTTGTAATTAAACTTGTATAGAATCGTTGAAACTCGATGAAACGAAAATGCGTCACGATAAAGAAACAAACACATAAATGCATAGGATTAAGTCGGCGAGAAAATGAGATACGAGTAGAATACATTACACATTATTTTTAATATAATATTTTGACAGTATGAATATTTTTATCTTTTAATTTAATACTAGCTGGTACCCGTGACTTCGTTCGCGTGGAATTTGAAAAACGCTGTCGTAGTGGGTTCGATTCCCGGGCCGGGCAAAATTTTATAGGGTTTTCTAAGAAAAAAAACATTTTTTTGGGAAGTATCACTTCTGCCTTGAGAATATTTAAAAAAAAAGCCAAGACTAACGTTTTTTTTAATCACCATAACATTCACAGTATCTTTTTTTTTTTAAAGACATATTCCGCATTAGGAATATATCCTGTGTCGCGGGGGACTTTACAAACATACATGAAACGGACACAAATAACACCCAGACTCAGAAGAACAATTTGTGGATCACACAAAGTGTCGTCCTATGTAGGATTTGAACCCACAGCACTTGGCGTATAGGTTAATATGGAGCTGAGTATTAGAGATTATGAGTTACATAATGTAGAACATATAATATGATGTATAACATCTGACACCTACAATCTGACGGCCGGACGAAACTCTATTAGTACCACACGAGCTTAGGTATTGGTCAAATCAAATAGCGTTCGCTTCTTTTGCTGCCTGTCTGTATCTTACACATTTCTGTATCTTTTTACGAAATAACTTTTACAGATTTCAGGAAAGCAAGAAGAAAGAGGTTTTACATAAAAATTTCAACCGTATTTTCCTACCAGTGTAGTAGGAGTAAGATTGGTGTCACGGGAAACAGAAGTGTTCACTTGTATGTTGTAGAAAAAAGTTAATGATGTACTATATTCACGACACTAATAGATACCTTTACAATATGGTATGGTGTACATTTTTACATTACATGGGTTGATGCATACCAAGTATACAATCAAAATAGGAAAGTTGGTTACCTCCAGAGAAATATGTATTTATTAGACACTTAACTGTAAGCGTCTTACTGTAAGTAATAATACAAAGTATACTGTACGGAAAAGTATGATAATACCAGTTGACACATAGAGGTAGGTAAGAATACAATATTAGTTAATATTTTAACAAGCAATGCAGCTTAGCAAGTGACGTTGGGTCTTAAAATAAGTTGATTTTAAGACCCAACATTCCTTGCAAGATAAAGCAAACCAAGATACATTTGGTAACCACCTATAATAACACTATAAATACATGCAATTTCAAATATATATTTTTAACTACATGTGTAAACTATACATCATCAACAGCCTTTAATAGTCCACTGCTGGACATAAGCCTCTCCTTAGAAAGGAGGTTTTGTTTTTTTAAACTATACATAGATATATACAAATGTAGGTCCTGAGGTTTACAAAGAGATAAAAATACAATTGTGTTTCTTTATATTAATTTAGTTTAATCCTTTCTCCGCACCACACAAAATGGTCCAAAAGTTTAGACTAGCTTAAGTGATTATGCGACCACAATTTTAAAACACTTTGTTCTGCTCCATTCAGGGATAATTGTGTACGACGGCCGCCGTGACAACGCATGGCGTGTGACCCACGCTTCTATGTACCCAGATCCAGACTTGGGAGAATATGACATTAATGGTGAAAAATTCACGCTCATGGACGGAGTCGTGGGGCTCGCCCATTCGCCTGCGCAAGGACTTCTTTACTACCAACCGCTAGCTACAGACAGGTAAACATTTTCGGTCTCGTTTCTATTGTTTCAAACTAAACTTGAGATATTTTTAAACAGTAGGCAATTTTCGGAGGTGTGTGTATTTATTTTTTGTATTTTATTAATAAAAACTATTATTATTATTGACTGGCCTATTGAGACCAATAATTAGTGATCCCCGAAGACCCACTGCCAATTTAGACGTTATGGGTTCGATGTCCATCCAGGAGAAATAATTATGTGATGAGCTCCATAATTTGTTATGTGTCTGTTACCAATTTATATGCAATATGTATGCATGTTATTAGAATTGTTAAAGTATGTTTAGTGCTATGGTGGACGAGTATCTGATTCTTTTCTCAACTAGACACAGCACATACTGCGTATACTCAATCACAAGGCTGTATACTAATAATCATACGAAACTACGTTTAACATGAATGAAATATACCTTACTTTTTTCTGTTATTGTGTGGTAATAAGTCAAAGCAATGAAATTTAATTTTCTGTATAACAGACATTAAAAAGATATGGTTATTTTTGAGACCTTATACATATGTACATAAATAGTGATATTATGTGGAGAGTTTTTTCGACATTCGTCTTTATTCAATTAACGTAATTCTGTGAACTTTACCACGAATAATAAACATTTTGACATGTATGTATTTCCAGATTATTTAGCATATCCACAGCAGTGTTAGCGTCAGGCCCACCTGCCGAAGGTACCGACCTTCCCGTGAACCTCGTGGGGCGCAAATCATCTCAAGGCATTGGTGTAGCGGTGGACCCACGCGATGACACTATCATCTTCAGCCCTTTGACTGAGACGGCCATTGCAGCTTGGAATCCTATTAGTAACTCTCACAAGTACGTATTGCCCATAAAAGTTTCAAAATACATCATTCATTCTTAGACGGGCCTGTTGGTCTAGTGGTTCGTGAGCCTGATTGCTAAGTCGGAGGTCGTGGGTTCGATTCCCACTCTGGATAAATATTGTGTGATGAGGACGGTCATATGTTCTGTGTCTGGGTGTAATTTATCTATAATATGATGATGATGTATGTATTTAGAAATACATAAGTATGTTTATTAGCAGTCTGGTTACCATAGTACAGGCTCTGCCAAGTTTGGGATGAGACGGCCGTGTGTGAGTTGTGTGAGGTATATTATTATTATTACAGGGTTTTTGATTTACTAACATTTAAAAAATGTTTGTTTTGTTGTTGTGTTGTTGTTAAATGGACAGCGGCAGTCAGTCAAATTAGTTCAGAGACGAAATCTCTTTAAAGACTGAATTTTCTCACCCACTAGCTTTCTATAGTAGCTGTGTCAATTCACTTCCTTAAAGTTATATAGTGTTGAGAAACTTAGTAAGACAATTAAGAAAGAAACAAAAGTTGTTAATATATATATATATATAACGAAATAATAATCAAAAATTTGAATACATTTAAAAGTGTCATGAATTTTGAAAACCTTGAACAAAATATCAGTTACACCACACTCTCATGGCTAATAGGAAAATCAAAATTCGTATTGTGCTAGGGGAATTGGATGGAACCATCTTGCCGCTGATGCTTTTTATTAAAGTTAATATGTAATATTTATCAATGAGTAGTGTATTACTTAAACTCGGGTACCAGTAGCCGGGGAACGAGGTGTACCCTAGAAAGGAAATCTCTGGGTAGATGACCCCCTCCTGTGGTGGAATACCCATGTTCCCTTGGTGCTCCCAAAGGGCGTCTCGCCTCGACCAATAAAAACTCTAAAAGTATCAAAATCACTTACCGTAACTTACTGACGAGGAACTGTCGCTTCAATCGAAAAATATCTCGGTAAAGATCATAGCGGATTTTCGCTCTTATTTTTTAGATTATATATTTTTAACTAAATACATACGCACATTCACAAACCTCCTAAACTGACGTGACAGGTGACAGTTGATATTGTTACCACAAGAAAATCACTATTTAAATTTTCATGTCATGGGACTCTGGTTTAAATAAAATTATCTTTATATGAAAATATACGTGCCTAATATTGTATTAGGCGGTATAAAGTATGCAAAAGTGAAAACATGTTTTAAATTTATATTTAATTCTGAAATAATTTATTTTATAAGTTAAATCTATTATGTAAATTATTTGTCAAATGCCTACCAGATCTTCCTAACACAGTATTACTGATAACTGCGGTTGATGGTACTGCCCCCATTCCTTATCTATCTAGGTTTACCATGAAAATATTTGTTTAATAATGTTTTCCTCATAATTATCATAAGTTAGTATGAGTCTTTCTAGTATTTTGATGCGGATAATAAAAGTGGAATGCTATGAACAAGGTTATACTGCAAGGTCGTTATAGACCATTCAATACATTGTTATGTATAGTAGTTTGAAGGAGATATTTACAAAATTTGAAAATGAAAAACAGTAATCAACAAATATTCCTTGTCTTGCCTCATAATTGCTCCATAATTACAGTTAGGGTACAGTTCCATGAGAAATAAATTCATTGTTTCTTAGAAGTTAATTTTTGCATCGTAAGCATTTGAAATATTCATGTAAACAAGTAAAAATTGTGAGGAAATCGTATTTTAAAGGCACGATGTCGGAAATTGTTAAGGAAAAAGAATAGAAATGTACCTACTGTAAAAAAATGTACAAATGTAAAAAAAAAAAAATGTACCTATATAAACAATTAAAGTTAACCAAAAAATAACTTACTACGTTTAATCAACAGCATCCTTTTTATATAAGTCTAAGTCCTTGCGTACAATTTTTTTTACAATAGTGCCTTGGTGATTGGTGCAAGTATTATAAGGAGCAGGGCAAGACATTATTTTTGTACATTGAATATGTTAAAGCTGTTTAGACATAAAATTATATAAATACAAATATGTATTCATACAAATTAGTAGAATGTGAGGTCTCAAAATTATTTCAATAATAAAAAGATCTACCTATAGTCTCACTTACTAAACAGAATAATAACTCGAAATGAAGTAGTCTAGACTGATGATGTAATGGTATGTTCTAGGGTGTTGGCGCAAGATGCCGAAAAATTGCAGTTTTGCGCGGAGGTGAGGTGGGCGGAACGTGACAACGGGGCTGTGTGGGCTCTCTCTACACGCTTCCACAAGTTCTTCCGTCGCTCCGCTTCGAAACACGAGGTGAGAGTGAGACGATATAGACATAAAATAAAGTTAAAAGTTTTAATCACATTAGGAGGGTTCATGTGTTCCTATATCTTTTAAACTGAGTGTCGCACAGCTATATACAGCTATTACAAAGATCTCTACCTACAGCAGTAATTATTTTGTTCTTAAATAAGTAGTGCTGCATTAATGTGATTCATTCGTAATGAGTTTTTAACAATTATCTAGGTGACAAATATAAACATAAAACCTACACGCTTCGCACTACATAGGTAATATAAACAGTTACAAAAATGATACCTAGCGAATAAAGTTTATTTGGTTACTTAGTTACTTGGTTATTATTAAAGAATTTCGTATAGATCAGAAATGTTTATTATTGTAATTGTACATTTCCTTGTTACCGACGTTTGTTTCGTTCCTTAAATTGACGATCTTTAAAAATCTGCATCCATATTTTATAATAATATAGAAATTTATAACCCATTTACAATAAAAATCTGCTGTACCTTTCCTCCTGCAGAAAGTGGCTACCTACTAAGGCTATTGTATTATTCGCAGATCAACATTCGTATTCTACGTGTGTTTGACAACAACTTCGTGTCGGTGCAGTCGCATGTCCTGCGTCGTTCAGCTAGACAAGCTAACGCTACTTTCGTTTAAATCACACAACACCACGATTTATTCACAAATTATAATACTGCCAAAGTCACCAAATTCTTAATATGAAATTTACTCTATAAACTTTTTGATACTCTTAAAATAAGATCATAACTTCACTTTAATTTGAACTTTTCTAAGATCTAATTGTAATGCAGTCAAATACATACATCGTGACAGCAGGAATATGCACACCTGCTGTATCGATACAAGAGGACTGCATTACCATTTAAAAGCCCACATTATTTTAGTGGTAATCTTTCTACTCTTAAAATGCTATGCTAATTTATATTAATACTGTGTCATATACATTTATATATCAAATATTTCAGGAAATCGAAAAATGAGAAGTATGGAAAGTATATAATTTGCTTACTATACGTGATGTGAGTCAAATTATAATATGTAAGTAGGTCATAAAAGTTCCAATTGCTTGTAATTAGAACATGTATATAACGGAGCGAGGTGTGTTTAGATATAAGTTCTAGAACAATGTTATAGGCATTTGTTATATTCGCTTAGTAATACTGAGCTAGCTTTGCCATTATTGTAAGCATGTAATCCCACACGCACCTTTTCGGAAAAACGAAGTTATTTTAGTCTCCGCTGAAAATCCGTTTAATTAACAGCCTAGCCGAATGGCATTCTCCCCGTTTTGTAACTTAACAACGATATTCATACAATAGTTCTGAAAGGGGCGTATAAAGACGTACTACCTGTCTCTAGTATTTTTTAATAAATAAATAATTTTAGTAATAAGTTGCAATAATAATCAAACTAGGGAAAAATACCAGCAATTTGGTCGATCGTTAACTTCATATGGTTAGTGCGTGATATAGTGATAGCAGAATAATATATTCTAGCAGTGATAGAAGTGGAACTAAATATAAATGTCTGGCCTAGGCAAGTAATTAAAGATTATCTATCGTAGCAGTTTAAGTGAGTAAATATTATTCAGATCATTAGTTGAATGGTAAACGGTTATACTTTTTATGTTTTTTACAAATTGTACCTATATCACTTTCACTGCTTTTTAATTTGTACTTGGCGACAATATCACCATACCAAATGGTTATTAATTACTTAGTTTCATAGTCTAAGGCATGCTATGAGCCCATTATATTACATGAATTGTATACTTCTGAACAAAAATGTACTTAAAGAGTGTGCGTGTTACATTTCAAGTAGAAATTAAATATAATACATAAGTTACAGAAGTTCTTGTTATATATAACTAATGTAATACTTATTGAGTCTAAAATATACTCTTGTTCATTTATTTTAAAATGTGGATTAAGGTGATGTAAAAAACCCAATTTTCTATATTCTAATTTATATTATAAATGCGTAAATAACTTTTTTTGCAAGATACGCTTTACCATATTAAATACTAATCCTATCATAATGAGATTAATCAAGTGTGTCCAGGAACAGACATAGGAGACCTTTAATCCAAAAAATTGAATACTAATACCGATCTGTAGTGTGAAATACAGTAAGAAGTATTTATAAATGTTTTGATCACACAGTGAGGGACACTTAGGTATGTACTTGTTCAATATATATATATAGTAGATAAGCCTATACTGTATCGTCATTTAGAGTTATAGCGTGTCAAACTTTTATTTTCTTACTTCACTTCCTGTAGATAAGTAATTAGTTGGTAAAAAATGTCCCTAAAGATTTTATTATTTAGAAATTGTGTTTGTGTTTAACCTACTTTGAATGTGGCATGATCGGCATACGCATGTATGTGTGTATTTAATGTATGTAAATAGTATATTTTATTGTACGTGAAAATTTTAAATTGATAATATATTGCAAACTTAATTTAGCTATCGGTGTTAGTCCTTGGGTAAATTACCACTTTCTCTACTAAACGTATTTAGATAGTTGTTGTACTGCAATATAACATGTACCTTATATTTAATGTTTAGCTTTTTAATACTTTGAGGGTTCCGTCCTTCGGTTCGGTAGGTTCGCACCTCAAAAGGAAAAAACGGTCAAAAAATCCATTATAGGATCATTTTCCTTCGGTCCGTCTGTCCGTCCGTCCGTCTGTCTGTCTGTCAAAAACCCTTTATCTTGGGAACGTGTGTAGGTGTCGCGTTGAAATTACAACGATATACTCAAATCTACAGTCTCTTGAAGCTGTAAAAAAAAAAAACTTTTAAGTTAACGTTAAAGAAGATACGGCCGTTTATGCCGTTATAAAATGAATATTTCCCTCTCAAGGGAATCCAAATTTTTAGGGTATTTTCCGTTCACCTATAACTATGATATTTGGCAAGTAATAAGGTCTTATACTACTAGTATAGGGAAGATCTGAAAACTATACATTCCTTATGAAATCCTGTAAATGTAACTACAAATTTGTACGGAACCTTCAGTGGGCGAGTCCGACTCGCATTTGCCCGGTTTTTTATTATTAACTAGCTTTGCTGTGGCACATTGTAGTTGCATTAATGAGAATGAGAAGAGATGAGTATTTGAGCTAAATCGGTCCAGAACTTTTTGAGTTTTACAACATAAAATACAAACCAACTTGACATTTTTAAATATCTATATATACGTATACATGTAGTATATTAGTATTATAAATTAAACAGAAATCAATGAATTCGAGGACTTAAACGACAAATAATATGATTAAAAAATTAGTAAATATTGTATTTAAGCAAATACTCATGTTACTTTCAAAGAACTTGAGACCACAATTTGTATTGTTTTCTCAAGTTCTTTGAAAGTGACAGATGTAATATTTAACTACCTATATAGCACTTAACCCATGGGTATTTGTATGTATTGTTGACTTTTTAGAAACATGGTAAGCACCTAAATCAAGTTTTGATGAAAGAGGCTTTTGTACTCAGTTATTTGCGAAGTAACTTAAGGTTTAGTTTAATTTGATTAAAGTAAAAATTATTATTTGTCGTTATGTCAAGGGACTTTATCTCTCTCTTACTACCCGCATTCCCCCTCAATTTGATGTGATGATATTTTTGTTTGACTTTGAAACATTAAGTAATATTACATATGCCTAAAGGATTTTGAGACAATGTTTTGGATGATTCAAATATTGTGGGTACCTATTACTTTTAAAATATTAATATTTGTAAGGTTGTTACAAATAATTCAAAGTATTTATGACTTCAAAGTATTATGTAGATAGGCAGGTTTTTTTAAGTAGCTTCTAAGTAGCTTGAAGCCCCTCCACGGCAGCAACACAACGCTTTTGCTTTCGACGCGACACGATACGCACTATAATTTACCTTCTTATTTGTCTCGATTGACAATGTTTTGTAAACTAAAATTAAAAGCTAATATAACGCAATCTTACAAGTATATCGTTTTATTTAGTCTCCGGCAATATATGTACATACAGTTGTACATAAATATACAAATCTTGATGATTCTGCATCATGTATCGATATATATATATATCGGAGAACTGTTATTACCGTTATTCTCATGGTCACTCATTGTGGGCATCAGCAGGGATCCGGGGGAGAAATAAATTCTTCGTAGGTTATTAAATGATTTTTCTCTTAGGCTCTGTATACGTCACTCTGACGTTTGTGTGTCGTTGATCTTCCGTAGACAAGATCCGGATGCGACATATATATATATATATATATATATATATATATATATATTTATATACGATAGCAAATTTTACATTCATTATTATTATAAGAATTTGTGACACATACATAATTACACTAAAGATCGCCTGGTGGTCGAGTTTCGTTTATAATATAAACCACTAGCTTTTGCCCGCGGCTCCGCCCGCTTATTATCTTCCTCAAGAATCTAACTACCTCCATACCAAATTTTATCTAAATCAAAAGACAAACATACACGAAACGGACACAAAGAACACCCAGACTTAGAACAACAATTTGTGGATCACACAAAGTATCGTCCCATGTGGGGTTTGAACCCACAACATTCGAAGTAGTAGGAAGCGGCGTGGCGACCGCTTAAACCACTACGCCATCCGTGCAGTCAATCTGACAACTGTCTGTCTGTCTGTCTGATTGACAGATTGATTTCCCATACAAACGCCCCCCCCCCCTTTCAACCCTTAAAGGATAATTTTTGAGATAAAAACTATCCTATGTCATTTTCCGGGACTTGAACTATCTCCATTCCAAATTTCATCTAAATTGATTCAGTGGTTTAAGCGTGAAGAGATAATAGACCGACAGACACACAGACACATTTTCGCATTTATAATATTAGTATGGATTAACTTTAGGCGCTTTGATTAATTGGCAATGTGAAGACTTTCGACATTATGAATGTTAGCGTAATAAGGATAATCTTTATTCTTTTGTTTTTTGTGTTATTTAAAAATAACAAAAGTTATGCAATATGCATAACTTTTGTTTTGTGACAACCTGCTTAAATATTTCAGCTTCCTACACTGATATTACAGACAATCTAAATGAAATTTTCTAAAAATGGATGATAAGAATTCTCTTTACGTCTTCATACATTTTTCATTACTAGCTGGTACCCGCGACTTCGTTGGCGTGGAATTTAAAAAGCGCACTAAGGCAGCGCAGGCAGGTTCGATTACCGGACCGTGCAAAATTTTAAAGGGTTTATCTGAGAGGAAAAAGCCGCTAAGTAGCTGCCTATATAAGGAGTAACTTAGGCTAAGTTACTCCTTATATAGGCAGCTACCTGGTAGTAAGATATTATCAAAATCGGTCCAGCCGTTTAGAAGATTACCCGGAACAAACAGATAGACAGACAGACAAACAAAAAAAAAAAATTGTGACATTACAAACAGACACTTCAATTTTATTTATTTGTATAGATTATAGATCATGTTTGTCACATAACCAACTTTTAAATCTGTTTACTGATTAATTGTAATATGATTCTAGTAAAACAAATTTAATAGATATATGTGTATGTAGTCACATAAACCAATGATTGGAAATTGTTATCGTTGTGGTTGTACTTATATTACAGATATATAGTTGATAGCT